TCTCAACAAGCTTTCGTTAATCAAAGAAGGTGTTTTTTCTATGGGGATTCATATAATCTAGCTAAAATTTGCAAGATGGAAGATATTGTTTGCTTCAAGTGTAATAGTCTGGGTCATAAGGCTCATGACTGCCCCCACATCCACCAGGGAGACGCTGATTGTTAGGCTTCCTCCGGCGATCAAAGATCACATTGAGGATCTCTCTTCCTTTGCCATTTTCTATGTGCACAGGGGTTAGCCTTTTCTCTCGGATCTTAAGGAGATGCTTTCCTTCAAGTTTAATATCCGAGGGTGGACCCATAGAGTTTCTAGGGCTTCAGGCAACAGCTTCCTTGCCCAATTCCCAGATGTGAATATGATTGAGCAGGCAGAGGATATGAAGCTGGTTGATATTGAGGATTTCAAAAGTCGGTTTCTTCGTTGGAGAGAGGACTTTGGTCTTAAGGTTCTTCCCAAGCCTGTTCTTACTTTGGTCAGGATCTCTCATCTGCCATACTACCTCTGGGATTGGGAATTTCTTCTAATTCTTTTTAAAGATGTGGGTGAATGCATTACATGTTCGGATGATGTTGCTTTTAGTACTCATTTTTCGAGTTGCAAGGTTCTCATCGAAGTGAGAGATGTCTTTATTATTCCTAGAGAAATTCGATTTCGGTGTCACTCCCCTTTTGATAACAGTCTACTTGAGGGATATGCTACATTGGAGGTCATAGGTAAACCAGTGAAGGGGAAGGATTTTCATGACAGGGTGGAAATTCGTGAGCATGAGTTGAAGTGGGAAGGAGAACGGTCCTCTTTTTCAGGATGGGTTGATAGGGTGCTGGAGGTAGAAGTTGTCCAGCCTCCTATTGACCATGGTAAGCGACAGTCGGTTGCCGAGGAGGAGGATCGTAATAAGGGCAAGTTTGTAATTTCTAAAATTTCATATTCTACAGGCACGGTATCTAAGGCATCTTCAATGGAATCTTCAGATTCTCTGGGTAATCCCAGGAACAAGATTATGTCTCTCCCTCCTATTTCTTCGCATCAAGCGGTTCATTCTTCTCCTGACTTATTAAGGTATTTTGGAACGACAATCCTATTATGGTGGAGCGTAATCAGTGGGAAGGATTTATTCGTGCTCAAGGTGTGGGTAGGTCTTCCTTGCTACATCAGCATACTAATCCAATTGGGAATCTTCCTTGTGGATCATCTTCTTACTCAATTAGTGAGTCTGTTAAAGCTGGGTCTAACTCAGTTTTCTTCCCCTTGGTTTCGAACAATTTGCTAAGTCCAGAAAGAAGAAGTTGATTGGGTAAGCGAGGCTAGTTAGTAAGCCCTCAGTGCGAAGAAATATCATATGCATTTGACAGCTTATCGTTTTCGGGTTTTCTCGTCCAAAGGGGTAAGTCTTCTTCCTCAACATCTATTTCCCTACCAACCAATGCTAAATTAGTCTTAGATATTGTACTATCTCTGTCAATTATGTCATGAAAGATAGAGGGGATCGATAAGATTAAGGCTATAGAGGTGGAGAGAGATGGGGATAATTCTTGATCCCCCTCTTCCTTATCAAGGTGTAGTTGTTTATTCTTGTTATTATGAAGATAGATTCCTAAAATGTCAGAGGTCTTAATGATCCTGTTAAATATAGGATGGTTAGAGATGGTATCTCCTTTGCTGGTCTTGACATTATTGGTATTCAAGAATCTAAGCTTAGTTCTGTTGGACCTAATACTCTAAAAAAGTCTAGGTGGGAATAGGATCTCATTATGGCTTAGTCTTGAGGCTTCTGACTCTAGAGGTGATGTACTATTGGGATGGAATGGATCTATGTTTGACTATTTTAAACTCTTACATTGGTATTTTCTCCATTTTTGTTATCCTTATCCATAAATCTCTAAATTAGAAATTTATAGTTTCTACTGTTTATGCCCCAACTGATAGAGAGGAGAAAGATGTTTGTTGGTGGGAGACTAAGAGAGTCTATAGTCAATTTCCCTTTCCTTGGGTATTATGTGGTGATTTCAATGTCACCCTTAATGTCAATGAGAGGAGTGGGCGGTCTGGCTCTATTTGGGATATTCTTATTTTTAAGGGTTTAGTTGATAAGTTTTTTCTTATTGATCTACCGCTTAATGGTAGGATTTTTACTTGGTCCAATTTGTGAGGTGTTCCTGTTCTTGTTAAACTTGATTGTTTTCTTGCATCATCAGAGTTTGAATCTATATTCTCATATTTAGTGTAATTTTCATATCTGTCAGCTCGTTCTGATCACTGTCCTATTATCCTTGATACTACTTGCCTCAAACCTAAACCTCTTTTTAGGTTTGAGAAAACTTAGTTGTCTCATTCTTCATTTTCCTCTTTGTCAAGGATTGTTAGGTGTCTTTTGTATGTAGGGGCTCTCCTGTTGGTAATTTTCTCTCAAAATCAAGCTTCTGAAAAGAAGGCTTAAGTGGTGGAAAAAATTCATTTACGGGTCCTTTTCTTGCACTAAGAGCAGAACATACCTCTTTGTCCATCTGAACTCTCTCATAGAATCTTATCTTAAATCCAAGCTCTTTGATTTAGCTAGAGATGAAGAAGTATATTTGCGCCAAAGATCCAAAACCCTCTCGCTTCATGAAAGTGACTCAAACTCTTTCCTTTTTCCACAAAGTTGCTTCAGCTCACAGAAGGCAGAATGTTATCTCATCCTTGATGTCTTCTGATCATGACATTAAGGCAGCTTTTCACTCCTACTTCTCCTTCCTCTTCCAAGCGAAACCTCAATCTCCTTTTGTGGTTGATTGAGACTCTTTTTATCCTCATAATGTAAACTCTTGTCTATGTTAGATAATCTCTTTTCTCAGGAAGAGACTAAGCAAGCAGTCTTTTCCTAACACTCTGATAAGTCTTATGAACCTGATGGTTCCCAATCATTTTCTATCAAGCTTTTTGCAACACTGTCAAAGAGGACATCTTCTTCTTTTTTAGGTGTTTATATCAGGATGCCTTTTCTCTTCATCTTGTTAACTTCTCATACATCGCTCTTATCCCTAAAGTTGATGGAGCTAATCGTGCTAAAGATTTTAGACCTATCAGTCTTCTTAACGGTCTTTTTAAAATTTTCACTAAGATTTTAGCTAACAGGTTAGCTCCTCTTCTTTCTGCTCTTGTTGATCAATCTCAATCTGCCTTCCAAGTTGGTAAGTCTACCCTTGATTCTATCATCTTAGCTAGTGAAATGATTCATAACTGCTGCTCTTCAAAACAGGAGATTTCAAAATTGATTTCATGAAAGCTTGTGATTGTGTGAGTTAAATTTTCTTTTGCCAGGGGTTTTGGTCCTAATGGTGTAGTTAGATTGCTAACACTCCTTCTAAATCATCTACCTTGGTCAATAGTTCCCCTACTAATTTCTTCCTTCGTTGTCGTGGACTCAAACAGGGAGACCCCTTATCATCTATGTTGTTCATCTTGGTTGTAGATGTTCTCAATAAAATACTTTGCAAGAGTGTTAATTTTAGTAATCTCTCCGAGCTCCATCTTAAGGGTCCTCTGAATTCCATCTGATCTCTTCAATTTGCATATGATACATTAGTTTTCTGCAGGGCAACTCTTGTAGACATCTCTACTCTTAAACTAATGTTCTATTTGTTTGAGGATATATCTAGTCTTAGGATTAACTATGCCAAGACCTCTTTGTTTTATTGTGGTAAATTCCATAGTCGAGGTATCTCTTTTGTCAATTCTATGAATTGCTCTCTGGATTCTTTTCCCTTCAAATACCTTGGTTTGCCTATTAAGCTTGGTTCTCTTTCCAAGAAAGAATGGCAGCCCCTCCTTGATTCTTTCTCTTGTAAGATCTCTCTTTGGAAAAGTAAACATTTATCCATAGGAGGTAGACTTACTCTTGTCAATTCTGTTCTTTCTTCCTTACCTCTTTATTACATGTCTTTCTTCAAATTGCCATGTTGTGTTATAAAATCTATTGATAAATTGAGAAAGAACTTTCTTTGGGGGTGGATCTTCCTCTAATTGTAAAGGTAAGGCTTTAGTTAAATGGTCTTCTGTCTGTAAGTCAAAAAAAGAAGAGGGTCTGGGTGTTCTCAACTTGGCCAACTTTAACTCTGCTATGCTCTCTAAGTAGGTTTGAAAGTGTTGCGATCTGAATCTCTTGTTGGCACTACTCTCTCTTCTTTGTATGGTCTACATAATTCTCCTTTCAATTGTACACCCACTTTTAGATCAGTCTCTAAATTTTAGTATGATGCTATTTCTGTTAGTCTGGCTTTAAGAAACATGGTTAGTTGGAATTTAGGCGAGGGCTCTAGAATCAAGTTTTGGGAAGATAAATGGTTGGGACTCTTCTCTCTGTCTAGTCTCTATCATGTTGCATACATGCTTGCATTCTTTTGCAACGCCTTCGTGTCTTCACAATGTATGTAGAGGGGTAACATCTTGATTTTGAAACCTATCCTTAGAAGAGCTCTCTCTCCTATTGAAAAACAGCAAGATTAATCTCTGTTTGATATTCTGTCTTCAGCTTCTCCTCCATCTGATGATCTTCCTTCATGGCCTCTTACCAAGTCAATAAATTTTTTTCGGTGAAGTCTCTATACTGCTTCTTAAATTATGGTGGTGTGTCTTGTGATTTATATATTTTTATCTGGAGCTCATGCATTCACCTTAAAGTAAAGTTTTTTTCTCTGAATGCTGTCTAAGAACAAACTGAACACCAAAGACAACTTGATCAAGAAGGGTTGGTTAGGAGATCCTCTGTGCTCTAATGGTAACGAAGTTGTTGAATTTGTAGACCATCTTTTCATTTAGTGCCGTTATGCTCAGTCTATATGGAAATTCTATATGCTAAAGTTGGGTACTAATGCTTTTCAGTATGATCTGTTTCATATGATGACCTCAAAGGGTCAATTTCTTGGGGATAAGAATTATCGTTTATTATGGACCATCCTCTTCCTTATTTTGTGCTGGTGTTTATGGAGAGAAAAAAACAACAAGGTTTTTAATGATGAATTACGCTCGTCCTCTAAGCTGGCTGCTAATATAGCCTTTTTCTTGTTATTCTGGATGGGAAGTTCTTGTCATAAGAAGGTTGTCAGGCTGAAAACAATTCTTCAAGATAAGAGGGTCGAAGAGCTTTTGAGCAGCAGTGAAGACAATGGCTGATTTCTTCCAAACACTTGATTTTTTTTGGGTGCATATTCTGATACTATCTTTTTTGGTACAATCGGTGTCTTTTTTGTTTGAGCTGGAGTTGTCAGCTCTTTGATATGCATTTATTTATTTTTTTCATGTTTTCTCTACACTTTTGTTTGTATTCTGGTATTTAGTTTGCTGGAAGAGGTGACGGCTATGGTCCTCTTGCTCTTTCCATTTTATTTGTCTAGCATCCTTCTTTTGGTGTAGTCATGTATAAAACAATTTCTATATATACTACTTTTGAATATGACATCTTACCTTATTTTTACTTCAAAAAAAAAAAGATTTTTCTTTAGTGGCCTTCGCTAGATGTTCTTACTTAGGGGAAACAAATATAGAGTATACATAAAGAGGATATATGCATGATATTCTTGCAAAATTTATTGAACTCCTATCATTTAACAAGGGGTTAATTTCACATAATTACTCTAAACCTTGATGGTTTTTTCACATGACGTCCTTGAACTTTATGTACTTCACATAACCCCTTGAATTTTGGGTGTCTCACAAAATCACCTTGAACTTAAACCTTTTCCTACTGGACCCACTGCATGTAAATTGTAAATGATTAAAATGCCCTGAGAGAAAAAATCCCAGAATTCCTCATTGGTCATTTACTGGCAACATGCCCCTTCCTAAATTTTGGATTTTCTTTTCCTCTTAGGAAAATTTAATTATTTGCAAATTACATGTTTTTCCCCTTTTGTTTGTTTTTTGTTTTTTTTTTTTGAGGGCCGGTGAGAAAAGTTCAAAGTTAAAGTGCCGTTTTGTGATACACTCTAAAGTTCAGAGGGGTTATGTGAAAACCCCACTAAAATTTAGGTGGGTTGTATGAAAACCCTCCAAAGTTTAGGGGGTTTACGAAATTAATCCTTCTACAAATTTTAATAGAGTTAAGGTTTTAATTTATGTATCCAATGCGTTATTTTTTTCCCCTCTATTCAAATCAGCTATTTTGAGGTTGTGTTTGATCCTCTCTCCATGACGCATTGTAGATTGACTATTATCTTTGATTGTTTTGTGCTATCCTTCGCAGATGGGCAATGTTTGGTTTTGCTGTTGGATTGCTTACTGAGTACGCGACAGGCGCAGATTTTGTTCAGCAGCTTAAGATCCTTCTCTCTAACTTTGGAATTGTGGATTTAGATTGATATTTCTTTTCGGATCTGTATGATTGCCTATTGCTAGATTCACAGGAAATATATCATATATGCACGCACGTACAAGTATTCCTTTTTCGTTCCTAATGAGTTGCATGTATCTAATTGTCATTCTTGGGTTGATTCCTTGAAACCCTGTTTATTTTGTGAAACTTCTTGTTTTTGCGTCTATATGTACTAGTGTAATGCACGTACTTTGCATGTGAACATACATGTTTTGAGTTTTGAATTTTTTTTATTGTATAATAAAATTGCTTAAAAAACAATGTATGAATTAATTATTATTGTGCAGTTATTGTAATTGTCAACTTTGCCTTTAAAGTCTCAAATGCCTTCTAGCATTTCGGTCCCCAAATAAACTGAACACCCTTTTTTGTAAGACGTGACAGTGGGGTAGCAATCTTCGAAAAATCATCAATGAATTTTTTCCTATAATAGCCGACAAGACCTAAAAAGCTATGAATCTCTGTAACGGTCTTCGGCGGCTCCTAATTAAGAACTGTCTCTACTTTGGCTGGATCAACACCAATGCCCTCTTTGCTAATAACATGGTCTAAAAATCTGACTTTTAAAGTCAAAACTCGTATTTGCTAAACTTAGCATGCAACTAGTGCTCTCGCAAAGTTTGCAATGACAAACAAAGATGTTGCTCGTGCTCGGCCTTCCACCTTGAGTAGATGAGGATATCGTTGATGAAAACAATCACGAACTGGTCCAAGTATGGATGAAATACCAGTTTCATTAAATCCATGAGTACCGCGGGTGCATTGGTTAGCCCAAACGGCATGACAAGAAACTCAAAAGACTCATATCGAGTTAAAAAGACGGTATTGAGAATATCCATTTCCCATACTTGTAACTGATGATAGCCAGATTGAAGGTCAATCTTCGAGAAACACTTGCGCTCCCTACAATTGGTCTAATGAGTCATCAATTCTCGATAGTGGATACCTATTCCGGATGGTGACCTTATTCAACTCACGATAATCTAAGCACAAACGAAGGATGTCGTCCTTCTTTTTTACGAAAATGACCGGTGCTCCCTATGGAGAATGACTCTGGCGAATAAAACCATGAGAAATGAGCTCCTTTAACTGAGTCTGTAGCTCCCTCATCTCAGTAGGTGCCATACGATAATGTACACAGGAGATCGGTCCTGTGCTGGCTGCAACTCGATGCAGAACTCAACCTCTCTCATTGGAGGTAACCCAGGTATATCTTGATAGACATCCTGATACTCTGAGAAGGCTCTAGTCTCGCACAAATTAGCACTCTGATCTCGAAACAACACCTTATCGACGTATGTCAGAAATGACTCCGAAAACTTGTTACCCTGTGAGATTGCTGTTGGCTTTCTTGTTTTGATGATGATTTAACAAACAATTTACATCTAATATTATTCGTCTAGTGTTTGTGTTTTGTTATTTATTGTAGACAAACAATATGTTGGAGGATGGATGGAATAGAGCTTCAACGATCATATCCAATGGAAGTTAGCGAAATAGTGGAGTGAAGCCTTGCTATCAAGTTAAAGATCCAATTATCAGCTTCATCCAAGTTTACCAAGTTGAGCTATAATAAAGATCAAGATCAAGCTTGGGTAACATTTAGTTTAGATTTTTATATTATGTGTGTTGGTACTCTAAGCTCAATCATATACACACATACATGTTTTGGTTTTGTATATATATAGTTATATATATACATATATGTTTTGGTTTGATAGTTTTCAAGTTTTAATATGAAACAATTTAATATAATTAGAAAACATATTTTTGTTTCATACTTATATGCATATATATGATTTCATCAATATCAATTTTATTTAGTTTAATGAAATCATGTTTTATTGCATTATATGTGTATTTTGATAAAATACTATATTCATTGTTTATAGACTTCATAACAATAGCTTACATCTTTTAAGTCTATAAAATTATTTTGTAATATTTCAAAATATGGTTAAGCTAAAATGCCAAAACTTGTATGTTTACACTTTTATGTTTTGGACTATTTTGCAAAATGATGATATTTCTCATTTGGGAAGTCCTTTTAGAAAACCAGTTTTTTTAGCATGTGTATTATCATGTCTACAATCATTTCCCAAAGTGGGAAGTCCTTTTAGAAAACCAGTTTTTTTAGCATGTGTATTATCATGTCTACAATCATTTCCCAAAGATTCATAATTTTTAGAATTTATTTGATATTTTTAAACAGTGTTTTAAAATCAGCAAACTGCTTTCAAACCCGAATTTTGTATATATCAGTTTGCAGTCGACCGCCACGGTCGACCGCGCCTATGTATTTTCCTGAGTGGGCAGAATGCATTGGACCCGTTGTTGTCCATCTATAGCTTCTTCGTATAGTGTCAAGTTCCTTTTCAACATAATTACCCAAAAGAACACAAACATCCTTCACGGTCATCTCTTTTGTTAAACCAAAAACTGCATTTTCCCCTTTTCAATTTTTTTGAGTTAATCTACCTAACAAACTAATTTATTGGACATGCAGAGTTGATGCTTTTGGGTTTCATATCCCTGCTCTACAACAATGCTAATAATATCAAGAGTCAAAAAGCACAGAGATCAAAAGCCAAATTCAGATTAAAATTCCTAGTTCAAGCATCAAATCCCTAGTTCTTGTAATCAATCTATAATTCCTAAATTTTCCTGGATTAAAGAACAAGTTTTTCCAGGATTAAAGAACAAATTTTCCAGGATTATAGATTGATTTAAAAAAAAGACCGACAGAGCTCTGTACCTTCGACCACGAGCTCGTCCGCGGTGACTTGGAGCCGGAGTTGGGGGAGAGGACGCTGAAACGCCTGAAATCAAAAAAAAATAATAATAAAAAACCCCTAATCAAAACCTGTAACGAGCTGGGAATGGATGGCCGTGATCCTTACCTGAGTTGGGGGAAGGAGGTGGTTTGATGGAGGAGGAGAAATGGGGATCTCGAGAGAGCGCTCGAGCTCGAAGGAAGATCGGTTTTTGTCGGCGGCGATGCTGCTTTCGTGGTGGGTGGAGTTGGGGAACTTGACGGAGGAGGAGAAATGGGGGAAGTCGGCTGATTCAATTCGCTGGCTGAAGCTGTGATTTTGGGAGAAATGGGGGAATGTTTGTGGAAAAATTTTGCGGTAAAAGAAACGAAGGAAAATTGATCTGTATTCCTTTAATCATATATATATATATATAATATAAAATTTGAAATAAAGAATTAGCATGTTCTTTTCAAAATTTTTAATTAAATTTCTAAGTTAGACTTGGTTTTATATAGCCATAATGAAATGATTTTCTAAGAAAACTACTTTGGAGCTATGCATAAAATTATACACACACACATGTTCTTGAAAAACAATTTGATCAAGAGGCTTGAAAAATTATTTGAAATTAAGATTTAGCATATTCTTTTCAAAGCTTTTAATTAAATTTGTAAGTTAGATCTGATTTTGTATAACTATAATGAAAAGATTTTCTTCTAAGAAATCTACTTTGGACTTATGCATACAAATATTTTCTTAAGTATAAACTAACTTTAATTAGTTTGTTTAAATATATCATGTGAATTAATTATTTATTGATTTTTTCAAATTGGAAAATTGACCATATTTTGTGGGTATATTCACTGCAAATCATCACAAGACAATAGTTCGCCCACTAACCTAGGGGTTTAAAGGCTTGTTGTATACACTAAATACAGCCACGATTTCTGCGAAAGTGAGTTAGAATATTTCTTTATTTGATAGAGAAATAGCTAAAGTTTAGGTGTTAGGGTATTTAATCATTATATTTTATTACATTTTTATACCCTCATTATCTATTTTATTTGAATAAATATATCCGCTGATAATATTTTTATCTTAAATTATATGTAATAAAGAATTATTGAATAATAACTCAAATGAATATTATTTCGAATACAAAAGATCTCTAATGAAGCCCAGAATGTCTAAATCCAAAGCGCACAACTAAGTTTAGAACTGAAATATCAGTACTTATTATTTTCTTGGTTAATAATTATTAACAACATAGCCTGCAATTGAGAATCAAATAAAATTTAAAAAGAAACAAGATCAACAATTCATACTCAAGATGGCCAACCACAAAAAAATGCAATATGTACCAATCCAAAAAGCAAAATTTATATAGAAATACACATTTAATTAATATATGTATATTCAATTATTTAAAGACCGAGCTAAATCCTAAGAAGTCCAAGAGCATTTAAGGGAACCCCAATAATCTTAAATGAATTAAATGTAAGAGAAATAAAGCCCACACCGCTCATCTGTCAACTATTGAATCAAATATAGATTATATATTGTAAGGATTACTTGGAGTCTAAGCCAAATCTTATGGTTGTGAGGGCTACTTGGAGTCTAAGCCTAATCCTATAGTTGTGAGGTTACTTAGGGGTCTAGACAAATAAGGGTCATGTGAGATTCTTGTTATCTATAAATAGAGGGGCAGAGAGTGATGGTTTGAGAGTGTGAAACATTTTATAAACTCCTTTTTGGAGATGATGACCATTTATCCACTCGTATCAATTTTAACGGTTTTGAATGAATAGAACTTTTTACATGGCTTGATGGAGGGTCAAACAACGACGGATTCACCCCAAACTTGGTGTGTTGGGATTTTAGAATATGTAGATCAAGTTTATATATATATATATATATATATATATATATATATATATATATATATATATACTATTTCCAAAGCCCAAGAAAATTTGTTTTACAAGATTTCCGCAAGGCGTAGTTCAAAGTCTGCAGGAAAAAACCCACACAAACAGACCCAACTAAAATTTATTGTGCGTATCTCACCGCTACAGGCTACGTGTCTCTGATCCATTCTGCCTTGCATCGATCCAACGACGCGCATAAAATGCGTGTGATTTCAGCTGCAAGCGGGCCCCACCTCACAAGGGTGTGCCGTTGAAGGGAGAGAGAAAAACAAGCAAGGGACTACGAGAGGATATTTTAGCCAATAATTGCATGACACATGGCATATGGAGTGTAGAAAAGCAGTACAAATACAGAGTCCTATGCCTGTATGTGTACAGAGTGTTTTATGGGCGTTTTAACTTTTCTATGGCCCCAAATTGTGTCACATGTCATATCCAAGGGGAAGAATTAAACCTTAAGCAGATTAGGTTAGCAAAGCCTACAAAAAGGCTGTTAATAATGATAGGGAGTGAGATTAACGAAAAAAGAGAGTAGACTTCGCAGATACTCCTCCTTGCGCAAGCTTCGTTCAAAAATTTGTAGAAATTCACAGAATTCTTCG